TTCCTTTGCATTCAACGCCCGTCCACATGTTTCACAAATCACTATCCATAAATTGAACGAATAGGGGGTTGAAGTTCTACCTCAACCGCCATATTCTTCAGACCTTTCGCCAACCGACTATCACCTTTTCTAACATTTTCAGAACTCCCTTGCTGGAAAATACTTCATCAATCAGGACCAGGCAAAAAAGCCTTAGTGGATTCGTGAATTTTCGACCACCCAGTTTTTTTACTTTTTGATGGATTTCTTCAACTGCCTGTCACATTGGCAAAAGTTGTGCTTGGATTTGAATGGTGCCTTATGTCGATTAATTCCGTTATATTAAAAAGTTAGCGATCATTCAAGTAAACAACCAAAACGCTGAGAACTTTCCGGACAACCTATACTACCTGAGCAGCATACTCATTAAATTTGAACGCGGGCGCTGCCTTTAATCAACTAGATCACGCTAGACACCTTCGCAAGCTGTGCACATACGCCAAACCGAAAAAGACTGTACAGTGGACACAGGGCTGACTCCGCCCCCTTTTTTTCGAAGAATTTGTTGCAAAATTCGAATATTATAACTTCTTTCAACTTTACTAATTCCACACCCACTCTTCACAGAACGGAGGTAATCATAGACGCGCATTTGTGCACAGGCACATTAAACTCTGCCCCTTGAACATAATAAAAAATCAGGTAAGGCGCATGGAATGAGACGAAGCAAAACGCATCCGCGGAATCGAACCATAATACTGTGCCACGAAGCGATAACCTTCCCACTGAGCGACCACGACTCGTCTTTGGCCTTCGCAATTCTTCCCTTCTTCCCGGCTACATAGACGGAGATCAAGCACTAGCCCCAACTCAACAACTCCTAATTTAATTACACTCAAAAGCAAACTTAGGAGAAAGTGCTAATTGTACCGTATTCGAAATCAGCACTGCACTGTAAAACCACTGTAAAAGTTATTCAAGCTTACTGATTAATTATAGGAAACTTGGACAAGTCTTACATGTTTGATCTGCAACATTATAGCCACCTCCTTCTCGACGTCCTTTGCCTTTGTAATCGTACGAGACAATTGTGCCGTGTCAAGTATCTTTACGGCCACCTGCTTCTGGCAGTTCTTTCTCAACTTTCCCAGTTGTACCTATAATTATTTCAGTATACCAACGAGAACCAGCAGATGTGGTGTCCACTCATAACTACACTATATTCCACTGCTTTCCCCACATTTCGTTCTGCCCCAATTTTGGGTAACCCTAGAATTGTTTGCAAAATGTTTTGCCGTTGAAAAATAAAGACAATTCAGGACGTACCACACCATAGCCACCTTTTCCTAGCGAAGTTTTCGTCATGATATACTTATTGATCAGCTCTGCGGGATACGTTTCTGATGAATTCTCCTCATACAGGAAGACTGAAACAGGTATCAACCATGGTGGTAATGATAAGTAAAGGTAAGACAGGAGTCAGCACCTTTTCCCGAACTCTAGTTCGTCAACAGTCTTGAAATAGCTCTGACCAGGAGAAGTCCGCCAACTTACCATGGAACTTTGAATGGAGACCTGGGTAGATCGATAGAGTCTATAAGGTTATTTACAAATATAGATAGCAAAACTGCAACCTGCATTTCACAAGCAACTTATGAGCAGGTGAAGTTTGCAATGGTGCAGTAGGGTGAAGGCTTGGACAACTTTACCTGCTCATAAGTTGCTTGTGAAATGCAGGTTGCAGTTTTGCTATCTATATTTGTAAATAACCTTATAGACTCTATCGATCTACCCAGGTCTCCATTCAAAGTTCCATGGTAAGTTGGCGGACTTCCCTGGTGAGCCTATCAGTCACCATTCATCCGGGGTTACTTCACAACTGCTGCATGCGTTGCATGGGAAGGACCACAGACGGTACTCAATATTCCCGCTGAGTGCAAGGCACTGGTCAGGGAGACAAAATTGAGATACACTGCTCGGAGCGGACAAGCCTTACGGTGAGCTCCCCTCAGTTTTACCCTTGGCCTTTCTTCGAAAAGGTTGGCAGTGAGCACTAAGATTTAGCTAGGCGTGTCGCTGATATATGCCCAGCAGAAAGGTAAACTACTCATCAAAGCAAGTGCAATGTGATTTCCTCCTCGAGAAGGATGAACTCGAAGCGAATCATGCTAACAAGGCCCTTCGGAATTGGCAGTTCCACTTA